GTATGAGCTGAGTAAGTGGGATAGCGATATCAATAGTGATAGCGAAACTCAACACCAAGAATAGTCGNTGTAGCTATAGCTAATATTATCTACTTAACTAGCTTTGAAAAAGACGCTATGACCATCAAGCTCATCAAGCTCATCAATCAAGCTGGCTTGATACACCAAGCCAAGCTGAGTCAAGCCAAGCCAAGCTGACAGTTTTGCTTTTGCCTATCAAGCTGAGGCAAGCCAAGCTGGAGCTTGGCTTGGCTTGATTGTTGACATCTCTGTTAACAAGAACAGGAGAGACAGGCGAACAAGACTCGGAGAGAGGCACAGAGCTACCGAGTAGGCGACAAGGTATGGCTGAAGCTCAATCAGCAGTACGGCACAGGGCGAAGCTTAAAGAAGCTCGACTGGAAGAACGCTAAGTATACAGTAGTGAAGGTAATTAATAGCCACTTAGTCGAATTAGATACGCCTCTAGGACTACACCTTATTTTTTATATTGATTAGTTAAAACTCGCTAGCAACAATCCCCTCCTAAACTAGGTTTAGAACGACTATTAGCCACAGCCACTACAGGTAGACAGAGAAGATGAATAGGAGGTAGAGGACATTATGGCAGAAGAGGTACGCCGCCGTAGGAGAGGGCGTAAGCTATACTACGAGGTGAAATAGAAAGGGTTCCACCAAACGACGCTTGAACTAGCTAAGCTGCTAGAGGACGCTAAGGCAGTAGATCGTTGGGAAGCATTCACGGAGGCCAAACGAGACAGCGAGGGCCGCCTCCTAGAGGGGTTTTGGAGAGGCGATGCGGTATCCCCTAAGGAGGGGGGTATTGTAACGGGCTAAACGCCCTTTAGATAGCTCCTTAATGGAATCTCAGGCCAAGCTGCGCGCGCACCATCTGAACTACGTTTAGACCAAGCAGCGCTCAGACAACGCGCTTAGATACTCTAGCATAACCTTTCTCTAATAAGTAAATAAACACCACGTAAGCAGAGTAGATAGCTCCTTATCGAATACAACCTCTTGTATACCTCGCGATTGCTCCCTAGAGCGCAGCCCCTTACAGTAAGAGTGCGTTAAAGAGGGTGCAAAGAGAGCGGTAGTGCGGGCGTTATAAGTAGACTAGACACAACGCTTATATTATTATTATTATTCCATTAGAGTCTATCTGCAGTCAGTGACTATGTAAGACTTTGGCCAGAGGCCGTTCTAGGTACCAATTTGTTTAAAGTGAGAGTGTTCTCTGTATAGTACTGCTATTGTGCTGCGGTTTAGTCGCTTCTAGCTGCGCTTAAAGCGGACTCCAGTTGCTAAAGAGCAGTTTAGTAAACAGGAAGAGATGTTAGACAGCAGGGCTGTCTTCCAGCGAGCTCTTTTAGGGCTAAGGAAAGTAACTTAAGAAGTTTGTTAGTTATTATTAGTTTAGGTAGTG